AGTTATGCAAGTATGTATTTTGTAAAGTTGACTGACTACCCGATGGTGTCATTATAATCTGTTTATAATATATATATATATATTTTTTAATTCAATGCCACATGAAGAGGTGTTAACTACAGTCACATTATTTACATCATTCGCTGCTGGCAAATTAATAATAATAATAATAATAATAATACATTTTAAAAATCAGCTATAAAAATCTCAGTGCTTTTAAAACGTGTTTTCAGCACTATTGGTTTGTTCCAAAAGTTTCATGTATAATCTTAAATCATTGTGAACTTCTGAATTGTGACATTTAGATGGTTAACCCTGCAGTACTTCTCACTGACCAGAAGAGGCCAGTAGATCGCCACATCTCAATGTTGATCAAACAACTTGTTTAAAATATTCTGGACTAAAATAAGAATACTTTGCCATAGCCTGTGAAAGAAACTGTTTTGATCACCAAACCACTGTCTGTCTCTCTCTCTCTCTGTGTGTGTGTGTGAGTAGTGGGTTTGGAATTTCAGGAATCTTGGATCTTCAGGATAGTCCCCATGTCAGCCCCACCCTGATGAGTTAAGGTTTTTCCAAGAATCTCTGCACAGCAGGCTGAGATGCTCCTCTCACATCAGGAGGTTACTTTGTTTTGTGCTGCAACAATACAGACTAGATCTCAAGACAACAGGCAAAGGATTTATAATTGGGGCTCGGGGCCTTCTCCTCAGTTCAGCTGTAAAGACATGCGCAGCACACAAATGCAGTCCTCTCTCAAAATTGGGGGAGGCATTTCATTTTTTTTTCTCTTCTAGAAGACCTATATCAGTTTGTTTTTTCTAGCTAAAGGCACAATAGGATCAGGATCTAGACTTAAACAGTGGTTCTTCTCGACCTTTTGACTACAAACCTCCTCCTGGGTTGAGTACAACTGGACTAAAGAAATGACAAAATACTCAGGGCCAGAAACTCATTTAATGCACATTACTGACACTGCTGATGATGAATTACTTCCAGTACATATTAATTTATAATAAGAAATAAGAAAAGCAAGGAATAGAAAATAATCAATGATCATCATGGGATTAACTGTGGAATTTATTTCTTTTTTTTTTTTTTAAATGTAACTGTGTACAGAGAGGTAGAGGTAGGTTTAAGTTTTGAACCTTAAAAAACTCACTGACTAATAATAGCACTTTTGTTCCATTAAACATTTAAGCACCAGACACACAAAAAAATATATTTAAAATTTCCCCCTTCAATAACTATTGTTCAGAATCTTGTATCACAAAATGAATTGTTTAATTGAATTAATTTAATATATCAACATTCGCAGTTTCTAATAGCGTTGCCATAATTACAGTATAACTACAAAAGGAAATAACTTAAATCATATATCCAAAGTGATTGGACTTTTGAAACTTTTAAAACACCCCCCTCACAACACATAATATAATGGCAGTGAGTTTTCTGAAAAAGCGCAAATCACATTTTTATTAGTATTTCAAAAGGCATACAATCTCTGACTAATGATCATAAAAGTTATGCAAGTATGTATTTTGTAAAGTTGACTGACTACCCGATGGTGTCATTATAATCTGTTTATAATATATATATATTTTTTTTAATTCAATGCCACATGAAGAGGTGTTAACTACAGTCACATTATTTACATCATTCGCTGCTGGCAAATTAATAATAATAATAATAATAATACATTTTAAAAATCAGCTATAAAAATCTCAGTGCTTTTAAAACGTGTTTTCAGCACTATTGGTTTGTTCCAAAAGTTTCATGTATAATCTTAAATCATTGTGAACTTCTGAATTGTGACATTTAGATGGTTAACCCTGCAGTACTTCTCACTGACCAGAAGAGGCCAGTAGATCGCCACATCTCAATGTTGATCAAACAACTTGTTTAAAATATTCTGGACTAAAATAAGAATACTTTGCCATAGCCTGTGAAAGAAACTGTTTTGATCACCAAACCACTGTCTGTCTCTCTCTCTCTCTGTGTGTGTGTGTGAGTAGTGGGTTTGGAATTTCAGGAATCTTGGATCTTCAGGATAGTCCCCATGTCAGCCCCACCCTGATGAGTTAAGGTTTTTCCAAGAATCTCTGCACAGCAGGCTGAGATGCTCCTCTCACATCAGGAGGTTACTTTGTTTTGTGCTGCAACAATACAGACTAGATCTCAAGACAACAGGCAAAGGATTTATAATTGGGGCTCGGGGCCTTCTCCTCAGTTCAGCTGTAAAGACATGCGCAGCACACAAATGCAGTCCTCTCTCAAAATTGGGGGAGGCATTTCATTTTTTTTTCTCTTCTAGAAGACCTATATCAGTTTGTTTTTTCTAGCTAAAGGCACAATAGGATCAGGATCTAGACTTAAACAGTGGTTCTTCTCGACCTTTTGACTACAAACCTCCTCCTGGGTTGAGTACAACTGGACTAAAGAAATGACAAAATACTCAGGGCCAGAAACTCATTTAATGCACATTACTGACACTGCTGATGATGAATTACTTCCAGTACATATTAATTTATAATAAGAAATAAGAAAAGCAAGGAATAGAAAATAATCAATGATCATCATGGGATTAACTGTGGAATTTATTTCTTTTTTTTTTTTTTAAATGTAACTGTGTACAGAGAGGTAGAGGTAGGTTTAAGTTTTGAACCTTAAAAAACTCACTGACTAATAATAGCACTTTTGTTCCATTAAACATTTAAGCACCAGACACACAAAGAGTTCACTTCAACATACAGTGCAAATCATCACAGTGTTCTCAAAGGGTGATTGTCAAAACAGTAATATACAAGGTTTGCATAAAGAAAAAGGCCCCATTTTCTCTTCCAACTCTGAAACAACAGGCACACGGATGCTTTCACATTTGTGCAGGTACAGGGCAGCATCCCATGAGTAGCGTATAGGTACAATGAAACCAGATTTTAAATGTTTTTGTTTTTTTATATAATACAACAGGCTCATATGGTTTAATCCATAACACTGTTTTGTGTTTCAGAAAGGAATGAAAAATCCTGGAAACATAAATGCGCCAATACAATAAAACATATTTCAGGTCTACAGATTGGTGTAGCCAGTTGCAACAGAGCATCGCTGTACATTTTCAAGGTGCTGTCTGGAATAATGCTGAAAATGAACCGAACATTTACATAAGTGAAAGCTGCTTCATATGAATAGAAAAAAAACACATTTAAAACTGCTTGTTCATTAACAATTTAAAAAAGTTGGCCGTAACTGTGTTTTCATATATAAAAATTCCCTCATACATACTTCCCTTAATATGTATTAAATACGGTAACAACAGTTATTTTATGAAATATTATTACAATTTTAAAAAAAGCTGTTTTCTATTTTAATATATTTTAATCAGCATATTAGAATGATTTCTGAAGGATCATGTGACACTGAAGACTGGAGTAATGACCAATTATACAAATTCAGCTTTACACAGGATCACATGAATTAATTACATTTTAAAACGTATTACAATAGAAAACATTTTAAATTGTAATAATATTCCACAATATTCTTGTATTTTTGATTAAATAAATGCAGCATTGGTGAGCATTAGAGACTTCTTTCAAAAACATGAAGAAAAAAAAACGTATTCAAAACTTTTGACCAGTAGTATAAAAAAAAGCTGTTTGAACCAGTTTGAAATCCGACTAACAGACCTAGGTAATAATACAACTGTAGCTCAGCTTCATAGCCAGAAATCTTGCTTGTTTGTAGGTGACCAAATACTTATTTTACCGAGGACTTTACCAATTAATTCTTTAAAAATCCTACAATGTGATTTTCTGGATTTTTTTTCTCATTTTGTCTCTCATAGTTGAGGTATACCTATGATGAAAATTACAGGCCTCTCTCATCTTTTTAAGTGGGAGAACTTGCACAATTGGTGGCTGACTAAATACTTTTTTGCCCCACTGTATACATGCTAATCAGACTACATTGGCTTCTGCATTATGTCTTTATTCTAAAAGGCAATGGTGACATGTAACTAGGGTTGTGACGGTAAGGAAATTTTCCCACCGGTTAATCGACGTGTGACAACACCGGTAATACCGGGATCACCGCGGGGGCGGGGCGTTCCCGCTTTTCCTCGCTTTTAAATAGTGTGCATTTTACTTTCACTTTCAAATAGTGGCAATTCGGAGTAAAGCAATTGTTCGAGTAAGAAAGCTTGGAGGCACGGCATACACCTCGATGTCAAATAAAATAAATAAATGACACAGTTTAAATAACGTAAAAATCAGCAAACAATGTGGAACCAATTAAATAAGAAACGAATGTTCGAAATAAGAAACGAACTTCCAAAATCTCCTTAGATAAACGGCAAGTTAAAAGGCTTCTCAAAATCCAAAATATTGCCAAACAGGCGCTTTTGCATTTCGTTTCGAAACGATCGTCTTGTCTGTCTCGCCTCACTCTTCTTGTCAGTCAGCTCGACTCACTCTCCTCACTGGAGAAATGAAATCTGATCTGTGTGATGCAACTGTCGTTCGGCACGCTGCATTGAGTAGCCGCGTTCAGTTTTTAATTGTAGTGTCTGTTCTTTTACTGAACTAAATGATTTTTATTACTATAAAAAATCTAAACGACGGTGGGGGTCGGTGACGCAGTGGGCAAGTGACATAACCGGTGTTGCGGCTTAACACCGGTATCACCGTCAGCACCGTCTATCGTGGCAAGCCTACATGTAACGTGTATTTAATCCTTAATTTTCTTTTGTGTCATGTATACTTGGACAGAGAGATGAATATAGCTTGATTTAAAGTGCATATACTGCGAGACGTCATTCCATCAGTGGTAATGAAATATTTTAGCTGACATCACGGTGCTAAGAGTTGAACCCGGAGCAGCAGTAAAGCATTTACATTTATTCATTTGGCAGATGCTTTTATCCAAAGCGACTTACAGTTGAGGAATACAACAAGCGATTTATCATAAGATGGCATTGCTCTCAGTAGCATTCGAATGGTTACCTCATCTCACTGCGCAGTGCTTTGAGCTGACTCTGGAGTTGTTCGTTGGCCTCCTGCTGCTCCTCCAGGTCTCTCTGCAGTTTCTTCTTGTTGTGTTCCAGTCGGTCGATCTCCTCCTCCGCCTCATCCATCTGCCTCTTCAGAGCCTTCAGACGCAGGTTCAGCTACACGCACACAGCACCACATCACAACTCAACATTGTTGCACATACCTAAAAGGACCCATTAAATATTATTTCCAAAATGTTGTTTTCCTCTCAGAGGAGGAATGTTTACTGACCTGATCTTTCTGATCCTGCAGTGAATGATGCTCTTCATCCACTTGCATCATCGTTTCCTTCACTTTGCGCTCTAGTCGACGATTCACCAGCTGCAGGTTACCACGTTCCCTGTTAAATATTTAATGAAGTGACTTTTTAATACCAGATATTTTACAAAAATCCAATGATATGATGTGTAGTACACACTAAATGCATTAGTTTTCTCACTTACCTCTCCTCTGCTTCCAGTCTTTCCTCCAGTTCCTGGATACGGTTCTCCAGCTGGGGCACCAATCCCTCTTTACTAGGCTTGTGAGATCCCTCCAGATATGCAATCCTGCTCTTCAGATCCTTATTCTTGACACACAAAAGGAAAAAGGAATGTATAAGTATATAAATAGGAAGTTACAGGTGAAGAGTTTTGCTAGTTTGAGAGGTCAGAAGCTATAGGAGCAGAGGATGGTTGGTTTAAGGCATCGATCAGAGTCAGACTTGTGTTTTTACCTGTCTCTCCAGAGACATCTTGTCACACTCCACATCCTGTCTGCTGGCTCTTTCCTGCATCAGCTCATTCCTCATCTGCTCCAACTGTCACACAATCACAGCGATACAAACATTAATGGCAAACCTCCCTAACGCAACACACCAATAATAACAAAACACTCCTCCATAACTAAAAACATGCCAGTATGTGAAGACTTCTCGATCTTGTCTGCGATTTACATTTTGCTTCACACCCTTGCTAAAAGGAGCCCTAAAAGACCATAATATCATTATTCATTTGATGATCATTTGTAATATTTGTTTTAACTTTCAAAAAAAAAAAAAAAAAAAAAGGGGAAAAACAACCTTTACAAAGTTT